CCAGCCTTCCGGAACGCGTGCGGTCTCCCATGATACATGTGCCCGTGCGGAACGATATGACCACGTGCTGGTAGGCCAACTTTTGAGCCTCAAAGATCTGCCCGCAGATGAAACACTGGTTGTCCGTAGTTAGGAGCATCGAGATGCTGTGTAACCCGTGCCCTTGCTTTAGATGGCTAGTTAGCTGTCTATGCGTTGCAAATGTACGTCGACACCTTGCTATACAACAGACATGCTCACCATCATCATCATGATCATGGTTGTCTCGATGAGGATTTTGAAGGGGCTCAGGGGCTTGACGTCCAGGGGGGGAACACTCACTACCCGGGAAGTTGCCCGAAGCTGAGTCAGATCCAGTCGTCCAAACCAATCCGGTAGGCCGGATCATCAAAACGCGCCAGGGGTCGGGAATCCCATTCGGCAATTCTGTCCGAGCGTTCCCCCCCCCCAGCTTGCGAAGGTTGGCAACATCTGCGACGAACTTGTGTGCCCACGGGGATGCAGAAGAGAGTAGCCGCCCTGCTGCACCGATCGCCTGGATGTCTCGTGCCTGCTCAGCTCGAAGCGCAAGGAAGAGAGCCTCCCACTCAGCAGCATGAAGATGAGGCGGCTGCACCCACTGCTGCTACCACCTTAGCCTACGAACGCTGAGCTCGACTTCCAATGGGGGGACACGCCATAGCTGAAGCACACGCCACGAAGGGAGCGAGAGACGAGGTCCATGGTGACATCATGTAGCCGCGCCTCGGAGTGCACGTCTGCCGAACTCTACTACCCGATGCTGGAGGCTTAGGATTTGCGCAGGCGAGGGGAGGAAGCCCGCGAGAGCTGCGACCACAGGCCCCCCCTTTTTGCTGAGGAACATGGCACGACGTTCGATGAAGGGGATCCGTGGAGTGTACCAACAGAGCCCCACAGACCAATATCCTGCAGTAGTGGTTGCGAGACGAGCTCGCAACTCACTGCCGAACTTGCTAGCACATCGTACCCGGGAGCCGAGATATTTTGCCGCGTCGTTTGGGGTGCCTGTCATGGGTAACGTAGCTTTTGATGATCTGCTTACGAGTTTGCTGACCACGACACTGGAAGGAGCATGTAGTTTGTCTCCGATGTCCCTGATAAAGACTTTGACGGCCCAGGGGTCACCTCGTAAGACGCCTACCCAAGGTTTGACAAACCGATGACCATTCTGCCCACGAAAACGGACCGCAGAACATTTGAACCTCTGCTCCCCGTGCATGTGCTCTCCCTCCCACATCGCCTCCCTGTGAGCCTTAGACAGACAGAGACTCCAAGCTGGTCGACCCGAGCGCAGTCGTGATCTCCTTCTGACCATTGACGGGGGTTCGCAGCCCGGCCGATGCAGTCGCCACCCGAGCGCCTGCTGGGCCGGCAGCGGCGTCTCGCGACGTCTTCGTGCAACCCGGCCGTGAGGCGATAAAAGGCTCCGCAGCCTTCCCGCTAGGATGTGTGTATTACTGCATCACTACTGTACTCCAGATTTCGTAATAAAAGGGAGGGGGTCTGGACCCTCCAAGACAAGCCATTTCAGACCTCCCCCGTGGGAGAACTCTCCAAAACATCGTCCCCAGACCCCCCAGGCCCTCCAAGATAGCCTGGAAGAGGCCCCCCCCCGAAATGAGACCCCCCTCCCTTTGTTACGAAATCTGGAGTAGGCATTACTGCGTTCACGCCGAAGCCGTGGTTGTCCAAGCGTTTTCAGGTTTGGCGCGGGCAGGCGCGCAGCAGGAGGTGCTTACCAGTATCTGCCCCGACCTCCCGCCTGCACAGAGGCGGCGCCCTGCTGGAAATGCATGTGCTCAAGATGCTGATCTCTCCTTCTGCCTTGACCCACTCGCCCGAATCCTGATAGAAGCTTAGCCGAACGGGCATAGAACATGAGCCACATGTTTCTATGATAAAGCCGCTGCCTGAGGTAGGTGCTATACTGAAGGAACCTGCTGAGATCGACGAATTTGGTGAACGAAGGGGGCATGGAACCCACGAGCCGTGCTGAGATAAGTATCTGGAGCCTCGTAGCCCACGCCTCGAAATCGTTTAGCCGTATGACGATGAGGAAACATGATCGTCCAGAGCAGCTCCAGAGGGGGCCGAGTACTCGGGAACCGCTCGACGACGACCAGCTCTTTTGATGGGTTGTCGGATATGTTGCAGCTTATCCGTGACCAATTGCAGGCCCTCCTTGATATTTTGCCATCGGAAAATGCGTTTCTTGCCCATGTTCGGGACCATCAATATTGTTATCTGCATATGATGTCCAATCCACGACAGTTGCTGGCACTCCTCCCTGCGAAGCTGGGAGGACTGCAGCTCCTTGCCAGTGGGGAGGGCAGCACGCGTGCGCCTGCAGCTGGGTTCTGAGGGCCCGTCCCCCTAGCAGAGAGAAGGCGAGATAGTCTGGCCGCCTCGGCCTGCCTACCTAACCGCATAGCTACGCGAAGCCCATCACTAATATTATATCTCCACTGCCTCAACTACTGGCGCCTCACCAAAGGAAGATGCCTGGCAAGCTGGTGCAAGTCTGGGGTAGCTACTCGGCGGCCTTGCCATCCGACGACGACAGTCGAACTCGCAAGTGACGGCGTCGTTTGATGCGATCTTTCATCTGTTTGGCCAGGGCAGGGTGTTCCGAGGTCCTCTGAACGATCTTGGCGATGTATTTTTACCCCACGGTGCTGAGAGTGTGTACGAAATGACTCCATTCAGCACTGGGTAGTTGGTTCGTCCCGTCTGTATTGTTGCCGAATGTCACTTTCAAAAAGCATGATGGCCTCAAAGCCATTCAACAATTCTGCACGATGATCCCACTGCGGAGGCTGTCCATCAGGGCTTCGTTATTCCAATTGATACGCCTGGGGGAGAAGCCGATGCGCATTTTAGGCTGGAGTCCGAGTTCAGAACCTGCGGTGTCCACAACCGAATGCCGACATCGAACATGCAAGGGGACGTGATCGCGATGACCCCGATGCCTAATCAGCTGCAGTTTCCGCGCCACCCCTCTGAGGGACCCCGCCGAGGTGGCCGGATCAAGGGATCACGTGGGTATGAGGGTCCAGTCGATGAGAGAGGCGCCACCTGTTGGACCGTAATACGTCGGCCCAGTGCCAAGATGCAGGTTGACAGGGCTGGGGCCCAGTTCCCGGAGGAGCGGGGGAAACACATCTGCAGGGTGCTTTTGCCTGGCCAGCCAGTTGCAAGAGCCGAGCCTCTCGTCCTTGACTGCAGTCCAGTCTTCACTGCCACTGAGCCTCCGAAATTCGAATCCTGAGTTGAGATCAACAGCAACAACAGGGAAACAGCGAGACACACCAGAGAGGTCGTGTACGGATCCAGTTCACTATGCCATTGCACGTCTTGACATGACCAGGGTATTCAGATGCGTTGGACGGAGGAGGAGGAAAGTACGCTCACACGATGCCAAGATCAAACTGACTCGGCCGTGCTCGCAACGCAACACCACGGCCTGCAATATGCGATGGTGCCGCCCGCGTGTGTGTAATGGCACGCTTTGGATCACGAGGTCCAAGAACAATGGTGTATCCTGAGCTTCGGGTGCTACCCGGTGCTCTGGCCCACCCTGCTTCAAGTGCGCATCTCCTTCCCGCTCCTTCAAACCACCTCATCCTTGCCATGCTTCCTGGCCCCCGTGCCCGTCAAGCAGACAAAATCAAACTGGCTCGTGACAGCAGAACAATCGAGCAATCTGTCATGCGCGGCAGCTGACAGCGGGTTGTACTGCAACAGCGAGATGCCATTCATGAGCGCACGTGCGTGCCCACTCCTGGTGGCCAGCAGCGATCCGCAAAACAACACTCAAGAGAGAAGCCTCAGAGGTTGTGTATCATGACCTGTGGTGCTGTGTTGCAGCACCGTCAAGAATGGAATGTGTGGTGAGGGGGGGTATGGCCTGCATTCTCGGAATGCCCCCTGCCCTGGAGGACGAGGATGAGCAGGAGGAGGAGGAGGAGGAGCAGGACGAGGAGGAGGAGCAGTAGGAGGAGCAGGAGGAGGAAGAGCAGGAGAAGGAAAAGGAGTAGGAGGAGGAGGAGCAGGAGGAGGAGCAGGAGGAGCATGAGGAAGACCTGCGGGGTCCAGCGAAGGCCACCCAAGACCGAACATGGCCACACACCTTCCGCCGTGATCTTCCCGCTGCGCCAGCATGTCCCGGCCTGTCATGTCGAGGACGTGGGTGTGGATACGGTCGCCGCCTGTGAGAGCACGAGAAAGAGGAGCAGGAGGAGCAGGAGAAGAGGGGAGCAGAAGGGGGGAGGAACCCGAGAACAAGGAGGAGGAAGAGGAGCCAGAGAAGGAGGAGGAGGAGGAGGAGGAGGAGGAGAAGGAGGAGGAAGAGGAGGAGGAGGAGGAGGAGGAGAAGGGGTGGGAGGAGGCGGAGGAGGTGGAGGAGGAGGAGCAGGAGGAGAGGAGGGGCAGGCGGAGGAGGAGTCGGAGTCGGAGTCGGATGCCTCGGCAGCTGTCAGCTATCGGTCGCTCGATGGCTTGGCGTTCGTTTTGCGAAACGAACTAGTTGCTGCTGGCGCGTTAAATCGGCGGATCGACGGGGTCGCCTACGGGACCCTTGGCTTTTTAGCCTTTTGGCCCGCTACAGCGCGGGGCCTGTCCATCAAACCAAACATGTTATGGAACTCCAGAGGCTTAGGGCCTGTTGGCCAATCACCTCTGACTCTGGTGACTCGGGTAACTCCGCGCAGCTCGAGTCAAGAAGAAGAAGAAGAGGTGGAGGATGAGGCGGAGGAGGAGGAGGAGGAGGATGTGGAGGAGGTGGGGGAGGAGGAGGAGCAGCAGCAGCAGGAGGAGGAGGAGGAGGAAGAGGACCCACAAACACACACACACACACATACACGCACACACGCACACACAGACATATATATATGTATATATACATACACACATACACACATACACACAAACACACACCCATACGCACGCTCGCTCGCTCGCGCACACACACACACACCGAGGAGGCACTCCGCGACCCGCCCGGCGGTGGCCCCGTGCCCCCCGCGGCCGCGGCCGGCGACGTCTACACCGCGGACGGCAGGTTCGAGGTGCTGCCCCCGAACTGGCGCCCAGGGGGCGGGGGAGGGGAGGATATCCTCAGGCCTCCCAGACCCAGAGTTCCGAGGCTCCGAAAAAAACTGGAGCGGCAGTTTTTTTTTGGTTTTCGGTGTTTCCGTCTTCGGATGGCCCTCAAACGGGGCCTAGGATCGTCAGAAGACAACTCGGAACGAAAAACCAGCCCTGGGGAAGTGGTCCAGACCTCGGAGAGTCCACGCATCGAAAAGCGTCCACGCATCGAAAAAAAACGATCGCCGGATGTCCGGGGATGGGGTCCAAGTGGGTGGGGTCCGAGTGGATGGGGTCCGCTAATCCTCTTGGATGGGGTCCTTCGAGGTGCTGCCCCCGAGCTGTCGCCCGGGGGGGGGCTGTGTGGGCTGCGCGCGGACCCGCCCCCCCTCCCCCCCCCAAACACCCAGGCAGCCCCAGCTGGCCTCAACAGCCCCCCCGGCCCCACAGGTCAGATAGCCCCAGCTGGCCTCAACAGTCCCCCCGAGCAGTCCATGGTGGTCTCAGCACCCTGGTGTTGTTTTTGACGGCGCCCCCGGCGCGCTCCGCGCCCCAGAGGGGCTATCCTCTAGGCCTCCCAGATGGGGACCGATTGGATGGGGTCGAGGCATCGCGCCGCATCGCCGATGCATCGGCGATGCGGCTCGATGTGGAGCCCGTTGTTCTCCGCGCCGATGGCGCCGATGCATCGCCGATGCTTTGGCGATGCATTGGTGGTGCGGCGCGATCCTCCGACCCCAGATACTCGGACCCCATCCAGGAGGCCTCTACAGCTTCACATCCGCGGAAGCGATGTCTGAGATGCTTGCGATAAGGAATTGTGGCTCAGCGTGGCGCTCCGCTGGTTCTGGCCCACCACGCTTCGGCGCGACACGGTATCCACGTCCCCAGGCCCAAGCGTCAACGTCACGAGCTGTTCCCAGCCTCCCGCCCCGCGGAGCAGAGCGACACGCATTCCGCCCTCAGGGCAAAGCGTGTCGCCGAGGCCGCCGCCGCGACACGCTTAGCAACAGTCTCTGAATTTATCCCGAAAGCTGTCCTTCCCCGGCCGACGGCTTCAATTCCTGGCCAACAGCTTCATTCCCCGGGCTGATCTCTGAGAGGGCCACACCCCAGCAGGAGGCACTCAGCCCGAAGCACAAGACCCCACACACACCAAACCCCAAACTCCAGACACCAGACCATGGCCGCCGCCGGGGATTGAAAATGTCGGGCAGGTACTGACCCAACGCACCGCTGCACAGCGCTTTCGGCCAATCTGGGACAAGAGTTTGCGCAGCTTCACCTCGACCACGGGCCAGTAGCCACCGATTCTGGATCCAACGGGCGCAATGGGGCACCAGCGGTAGGCCTTATCTCCCAGATCTTCGAGGATATGTTTTTGTTGTTAACTTGGCGCTTTTCTTTGATTCTGACCACCGGGCTCGTTGTCATGCGCGGACGACAGCGGACGAAACGAGTTGGACCACTTCGCGAACATCCTCTCGCAACCCAGAGTTGCGAGGATGTCTCCGGCGAAACAGGCTGGACCACCTCGCGCGCAGCGTTTCAGAACCCCGAGTTGCGAGGATGCCTCCATCAAGGCGAGCTGGCCTCAATCAGAAGGGAGATCCGAGAGGACCAAAGCTGCCCCCTGGGAGGAGGGGCTTGCAGCCTGAGGCCGCGGATCGGACCCGAGGGTGCGAACAGAAGCCCAGGAGCCCCTTTCTTCCAGGACCCGCCTCATGCATGGTAAGTGTTTATGTGTATATGCATATGTAGCCCTTTCTGCCCACCTCTCGTTCTCTCTCGATGATTTTTCTCAGTAGTAGGTTGGTTGCTTCTCTCGCTCTCTCTCTCTCTCTCTCTCTCTCTCTTTATTTATCGCTCTATGCCTCCAGATACATGTTACCTTCTGTGTATACATCTATATGTATATATTCCAAGAATCACCGCCCCGTCGCCACCTCGCCGCCGAAACCTTCGCATTAGACCACATAGTTCACACCACATGCATTGCACCACCTACATATATATATATATACGTTGCACCACATAGGGTCAGCACCACACAGTTTACACCACAGACTTACAGATCGTACGCATACATTGCACCATATAGCTTGCACCAGATGTACGTCACCACGCGTGTATATATATATATATATATATACAAGACTGCATTGGCGCTTCGCGCCATGCACCTTGGCCCATAAGATTCGGCATGCAGGCGGGATGGCAGGAAGGTCAAGCCGGCAATTTAGCGATAACTCCTTGTTGTCTTTTCCGGCATCGTCGCTATCATAATGTTATTCGTTATCCTCCCTCAGTGCTTCTGTTTCTTTATTCTCGCTATACCCTGCGCATTCTCCCCATGCTCCTCAGTTTTTTTGCGGAGGCTCCTCCTTGGAGAGTCTCTGGGGGCCTCACAACATTTCTCATGCTTTCTCAAGGCCTTTTGGAGGCCTCCTGGGCGTGTTCTGGGGTCCTCTGGGGGCTTCCTCGGGCCACCCTGCCTCCAACCGCTGTCTCCCTGAATGACTGGGTCACGATTTGGAATGCTTCAGAGCGTGTCTTCGGGCCATCTTCGCCATGGGGCACTCTTAGGGCCATCTTGGACCCCTGTTGTGCCGTTTTGGGGCTGTCTTGGACTGCCTGGAAGCCCTTTCGGATAGTTGTGGGGCGATTTTGCAGCCTCCCAGGCGGCTTCGGACGCCCAGAAGACCGCCGTCTTGGAGCGTCGGGAAGCCGAAAAGAGGATAACCCCAAAATTCATTGAAAACCAATGGAAAATCTCAGGTTTTGGCCTCTTGGGTCCTTCTTGGGAGTGCTCTTGGAGGCCTCTTGGGACGTTTCGGAGCGATCTTTGGGGGTATGACGGCTTCGTGGGCGTCGCCGTGGACCGTATTGGGGTTCTCTAGGGTCGTTTCAGGAGCGCGCCGGAACGCCTGGAACCCGTCTGGGGCCGTCTTCGGGTGCTGGGAAGGCTTGGCGAAACGCCCTGCGAGGCCCGGGGGGCGCTTCGAGGCCCGTCCGGAGGGTCCCCGAGCCCCAGATCCCGGGAGTCCGGTTTTGGGGGGGGGGATGGGTTTTCCCCCCGCCCGGGCTTATAAAAATATAGGAAGAGGAATATATATACACATACATATATATATATATATATATATATATATAATATATATATATATATATATATAATATGTATGTGTGTATATGAATATAGATATATCCGTAAGGGCTTCGCCCCTTGCCACCGGCCCCCTCTCTCGGATGATGGGCAATGCAAGAGCGAAGTCATGAGGCCTTGGCCCCGCCGTGAAGCAGCATCGGCAAGAGAAATTGATATTCTGCTTAATATTGTTGAACTCAGTGATTCGGAGACGCGAATCTTCTGTTAATTACCCGTCTTTGTAGTTTCCTGGCCGAGATTATAGCGTAATTAAGAAGGGTGTATGGTTTCGGGGACGCAAATATAGCACACGCTCAACTTAATGTACAAGGGTTGATGGCTTCGGAGACGCGAATATATTGTAAATTGCTAAGGTATATGGCTTCGGATACGCGAATAGTGCGTAATGTACAAGGGTTGATGGCGTCGGGGTCGCGAACATAGTATAATGTACGAAGGTTTATGTTTTCGGCGACGCGAGTATCGCGTAATATATTTGGGCGTATGGCTTCGGAGACGCGAACATTGCGCAAGTTACAAGGATGTGTGTGTTCGGGGTCGCAGATCTTGCGCCATTTACGCAGGTTCCTGGGTTCGGAGACGCGGATCTTGTATAATGTACGGGGGTTATGGCTTCGGGGGCGCGAGTGTCGCGTGATTGAAAAACGTTTGTAGCTTCGGGGACGCAACTATGTGAAATTTACACAGGTTTATGGCTTCGGGGACGCGAATACCGTGTAATTCGCGAGGGTGTATGGCTTCGGGGACGCGAACATGGTGCAAGTTACCAGATGTTATGGCTTCGGGGACGCGAATTTCATGTATTTCTACGTGTCCCACGCCCCCCCCAGAAATCCTGAGATCCCTCCCCCCGAGGCTTTGGAGACACCCGCATTCGGTTGCGAGTATGAGAGGGTGGACCCTTCGCTGGAGGCGCCGTTGGCGCGTGGCTCTGGGGGAGGCGGCGGGGGGGGGGCACGCCCAAGCTCGCAGGCCACCTTGCCCAGACCTGCCGCCCCGCGGAACGGGAGCGACACGCTATCGGCTCGCAGGGCACGGCGTGTTCGCTAGGGGGCGCCGCCGCGGCACGCCGAGTAGAAGCCCCGGACCACAGGGAGCAAGGCATGGCACGAGCATGGCCGTCGCAGATCCACGCGGACTTCTTGAGTCGGCGTTGGACCCCTGTTGTCGCGCAGAGAGCGCCAGGGCGGCGCTACTGACGACGCCCCCGGGACCTCCTCGATCGAGAACAGGAAGCGCACCACCACCACCACCACCACCACCACCACCACCACCACTATAATGGAGGTGCAGGATCAGCCGATAGGCGGGATGCAGGTGCGCATGATGTCCCGCGAGAGCTCCCGTAACAGTATACACTACAACCGCCCCTGACCACCGTCTGCCTCCACCCTCTAGGTGGTGGTGGTGTGCGTTTCCTTTCACATGCTCGACCCCTTCACCAGAGCCGATTTCGCATCCCGCGCCATTTCTGTGGACGGCCCCGACGGGCCCGCAAGCCAGCTTCCACAGAGGCCACCCGAATGGACACGAGCCAGTCGCCTTGGTGTCATGGGCATCGGGGTTCAAGCATCAAATCTTCCCCTTCTAGCCCCACCCCACCGCTCCACCAGACCCCGAGCGTCGTAATTTTTCACAGCGACGTGCCCCCCCAAAAGTCTGGACCATTCCCTGGGGACCGTTCTCTCGTCACGAGCCGTTCTTGGACGGCCTTTGGGCGTGGTGAGGGCTCCAGGCAGCCTTACGCTGCATCTTCGGGGGACCTCACCTGTCCCCAAAATTAGTCTCATCTCTTGTGCCCGACGCGGGCTCGATGCGGACTTGACGCGGATTTGGCGTGGATTCGACGCGGATTCGAAACGGATTCGACACGGATCCGACGAGTCCGACATGCATTCAACACCGATTCGACGCGGATAGGGCCGAGAAGGGACAGATGAGGTCCCCCGAGGATGCAACATCAGGCGGCCGAAGGCGTTCAAGAACCTCCTCGCGGGTTCGGCCGACTTCCCGATGCGCACAGCTGCTGCGCGGCCTGCGCGCTCTTGGGAGGGGGGGGTCCTCGACCACAGCCAGGGCGCCGAAGTGAGGACCGCCTTGGGCCTGCAACGAAGGATTGCAAAAAGGATTGCAATGCTTCTGTTTTTTTTGCAATCCTTCGGGTTTTTTTGCAATCCTTTTTTTGCAATCCGGGTTTTTTTTGCAATCCTTCGGGTTTTTTTTGCAATCCTTCGGGTTTTTTTGCAATCCGGGTTTTTTTTGCAATCCTTCGGGTTTTTTTGCAATCCTTCGGGTTTTTTTGCAATCCTTCGTTCAAGGGAGGGGGCTCGGGCGTTCGGGCCGTGCACCGGGTGTCAGGTCGTGGAGCCCGCCTGTGGCCCAGGCCCGCCGCGGCCATGGGGGCCCCTTTTGCGCTCCTTCTCCGTGCACGCCTCGCGGGCGGCACGGCGGGGGGCAGGCGCCCGCGGCCTTCGGGGTCCTCGTGCCTCCCTCGAGCGCGACCGCCTCCGCAGGGGAAGACTTCTCCGGGAAGAGCGGGTCAGCCATCGATCGAGGGAGGAAGAAACAGCCAGACCCCGACCATTGGCGTTCACTGAACGGCCCTGGGCGTCGGTATTAAACAGCCCTGCCCTGTCCGATTCCTTCCTTGGGCGCCTTCCCTAACTGCTTCGCTCGTCGGGGTGCTCATTATGGGGACGGATTTTCTTGCCCTCGATGTTCTGCGTGTGCCAGCCTCGTTGTCAGGGGGAATGGATGCTGAGGACAGCACAACCCACCCCCACCCCCAGCCAGGACCTCAAACCCGATCTGGCGATCCAGGGTGCCGGGAGTGGCGTTCCTGTGGTGCTGTTTTTTGTTCTCAGATTCTGGCGAGCACTTGCACGGATGGGGAGGGGGGGGGCGTGGCGAGGGCCGAAAGGAAATCTGCACTTCACGCAAGCCGCGACTTGCTTGCACGCCTCTCCGGCCCAGCGCTGCTTGGACACGCGGCGGAGAGCGAGCAGGGCGTGCGGGGGGAAGCCGTGCAGGTAAGCTTGTGCCAGCGCCTGAAGAGAAATACGCTCATGCCAGCGCGCCCCAGTCCCCCAAAGTCTCCCGTCGTGGTTTTCGTCTCCCGACGCACGCGGGGCTCCAGCTCGGCTCGCTCTCCAGCGCGCCTGGGCGCCCCGGGCGCGGCCCGTGCGCGCGGCTGGGGGGGCAGGGCCGGCGACGACGTGCTGGGCCAGCCCCGCAGGGCCGCGCCGGCGGCGGAAGCCGACGGAGGGAGAGGCCCCGCGCAGGGCGCTCGGGGCGCCAGAGGGAGGAGGAGGAGGAGGAGGAGGAGGAGGAGGAGGAGGAGGAGGAGGAGGAGGAGGAGGAGGGACGATGGAGACGGTCGGCTGCGCGTAAGAGTGGCCTTTCGCCAGAGTGACCTCTGTGGTGCGGGCCCACATGGGCCACCCCAGCACGGCTTGCGTACGCGCTTGCTTGGGTGTTTGGCCCCCACGCGGCCGCCCGCAGCCGCGCACCAAGGGTCACCTCTGCCCAGCTGGTGCCACTCTTAGTGCAGGGTGACGTGCTCACGCGGGCGGCGCCTGGGATGACGATTAGCAAAACCAGCCCAGGGCCAGGAAGCTAGTTTTGAAACGTCCCCCCCCCCCGCCCTCCTCGGGAGCGCGCCGGGACGGCCGACGGGCCGGACGAAGCCGAAGCGGGGAGCTGGGAGGGGTGGGTGGAAGGAGGAAGGAGGGGTCAATAGCAGCGGGATGCAATCACCACGGCGAACGGATGGGATCTGCAGTTGCCATGAGCCATAAGAGGAGATGGATCATAAGTAGGCGCAGTTGAAGATCAATTAGCTAGGTGTTGTGGTATTTTTTTGAGATCAACGCCCGCACAGCCTCTCACTGTCAGCAGCGACGGCTGGGAAATCGCTGCTGCATCCACCATGCCACTGAGGCAAGGAGGTAAAGCCACGAAGGTGGCAGGATAATATTAGTCAGAAGAACCCGACTCAGCATCCAGGTCCCTCCTTCCCTCACTGCCGCTCCGAGCGGCTTCAAGAAGGCGGAGGGACTTAGAAGCGACGCTGAGCTCTCGGGCCTGACGGGCCTGACGGACCTCCTCCTCCGAGGGGGGGGGGAGGCTCGACCGAGGAAGCAGGGACCGCCTCCTCCTCCACCGAATGGTTCCCAGCTGGGGCCACCACGGCCCTGCTGCACGAGGAAGGCTCCTCGGCCTGAGAACCAAACAGAGCACAGATCTGGTGAGTGTTCACCGTCACATCCCGCTTCCTGGGGTTCGGATGTATTCCACGGCAGAGGTCCCTCCAAGAATACTCAGCATGCCTGGAGGGCCGATCGTTACAAAACTTCCCGAGGCCGTCCACACGTGCACCTGTGCTGTGGTAGCGGCATTTCACGCAAACAAAAAGGTGCGAACCGTCACTGCAGGAGAAAGCCAAAACACGATGTCGCAGTGAAACAAGCACACCTTCATCAAGCTTGCACCTGCCCGTGCATATACCAGGATCAGGGACACCAGACGCCCTGGAACCCAGCAAACAAACACGACAACGCCACACACCAGACCAGGGGGCCCAGTCGTGTCCAGGCTTGTCCCAGGAAAACCTGGGCTTGGGGGCAGGCGGAATGTATACGGCATCAGATAAGTCTAGACGGGGCCACTCTAAAAGAAGCTTGGCCCCCAGTCGACACACTGATTTGGCAATGTCAATCCTCTTGCTGAGATCTTCACTGCCATTAACATCAGTCGCATGAAACGAAAGCGCAGCTTTGGCCGCCGCGTCTGCATCGTTATTGCATTTGCGACAAAACCGTTCAAACTGGTCGATGCCAGCTTCATCTAAATCTTTGTGAGCAGCGACCTTGACAATGTCCTTAATGCACGTGCCTTCTCGAGCATTGGCTTCCATGATTATGCCACTTTACACCCTCTTACCCGAGAGGCGCTCGACAGGAGGCAACTTAGAATGCTTAACCACATTCAAGCAATCTGAGAACAGGGTGGAAGGGTACTTGGCCATATTACCAGCCATGCCACGAGCTAAATATTCTCCAGCCTGCGGGGTCTGAGGGTATTGAGCCCACACAGGCCCCATAACCTCCCCTAAAAGGTCCCCACTGTCGTTGTGCATCGTGATGGCCCACGACGCACGGCTAAGTTCACGAATTATGTGCCGCCTGCAAGACCCGTCGAGAAACAGCGAACCCCAGACAGCACCTTCCTGGGGAGCCTCGAAACCTTCGGGGCCCCCGAGCAGAACACGAAGCCAGCGGAACACCACATGACCTTCGAGGCAGGGCCTCGGAAGGGTATCGGCGGGATGGGCGAAAGCCCCGAAGCAGAAAAGGAGGTCCGAGTAGTCCTCAGCCTCAGTGTCTAGGGCCGCAGCAATGATCCAGTCCTTAGCAAGCTCCGCTCTCTGATCGCACACATGTGGGCATACCCACAGACGGTGGTGCAGCGAATCTCCCGCACCGCAATGGACGCACTTAGAACAAACTTGATACCCACAGGCAATGGCACGATCAGGAGTCCAGATGGCGTTACACGCCAGAGCTCGCACCATGCCTTTTTCACTGGCAGAAAGCTTGCTAGACGCAAGAGCGGCTCGGGGGACATCCAAGCAGAGGCGGCCTCCAGACGACCATTTGCAACCCAAATCCCTTTCCAGAGCTCTGACCATACCTTCCCGACAAAAAAAACACAAAAGAGCAGGGGAGGCCACTCCGAGGGGGATGTGGTACCCTCTGACACCAATAAAGGTCATGAAGTTGTCCAAATGCCACCCTAACCTGACCAGGCTAAGCCTAAGGGCAGAAACAGGACCCCCAACAAGACCCCAACTGATCCTGCTAAGGCCCCAGACGGCATTCCAAGAATCTCTAAGCTCCTTGAGGGCCAGGGAGTGCGGGGAGACCTTAGTCTGAGCAAGCCGTATTTCTTTTCCCCACCTAAGCACAGGCGCGCAAGCCGCCCTCCAGGTGGGATCTCCAGCTAAAATACAGCAGGCAGTGAGACTCCTGCCCTGAGAAAACGGCCGCACAGTCGAGAAGGCTTGTCTCCGCATCAATAACAGGTCTTGGTCGGAAACACCCACAATGTCGGCCCCGTAGGAGCCGCCCGCAAGAGGGCCCGAGGAAAACACCCGAAGAGTTTTTCTCCCAAGGTCACCTGAAAGCCTCTTGAGCCTCTTAGCTCGACGGCACATAGTAGCCAGCCTCGACTTGAGCTTGCTAGCCCGACCAGAGGCACGAATGGACTTGCCCGCCGTGTAGTCCACACCTAAGTTGACAGTCACATCCGCGATCCTGCCTGCCAGACTGCCGAGCTGCTTGCCAACCTCTCTGGCCACCGCCCTATTAGAGGAGACCGTGCACACTTTGGACAGGGCGATACTGCAGCCAAGCATGTCGGTCACAGCCGTGTGCAAGGCCTGCGAGCTGGAGACAATAGAGGCAATAACACGGTGACGAGGGCCCGTCGCAGAAATCCCCGAATCGTCGATGTAAATGTCCAGGTCACATCTGGGGGACAGGGGAATCGAGTCGAACGCGTCGAGGGCAAAGACCCTGATGAGGGTGGTGGCGAAGCTGCAGCCCGCCACCACCCCTCGTTCAACAAAAAAGGGGCCCGTGAGGATGCCACCCAGGGAAAGGAAACGGCCACACCGAAAGGCAAAGATGCAAAGGCGAGCAATCGGGGAGGGAAAACCGTGTCTCTGACATTGGGACATCAACTTGACAAGGTCAATGGTCTCGTAATACTTAAGCATATCATAGAACACACTGCGCGAAACCTCTTTCGACGCTGTGCCATGCTCAGCCCGAACAGACTGCCTCCAAACGACGTCAGCAGCACCCCGATGCCCACCAGCAGCCCAGTACCTACGGGGGTGTTCTTGCTCCCAGGCGAGGGCGAAGGGGCGCCGCAGCTTCCCCCACACCCTGTACCAGGAGCAGAACACCCCTATAGGCCTGTAGCCGCCAGTGGGCTTCGAGAGACGCGCGAGCAGCACGGCAGAAATCTGCTCGGGCAATTCACCGAGCGCTTCCATAACTTCAAACAAGACGGCGAGCGAGTTCAACGCATCATCACACAAGTACTGAAAGTGACGACAACTGAAGCCATCATAGGCAACCGCTGAACCCCTCTTGTATTTCTTGGAGACTTCCCTGATTTCGTCGGCCGAAACTCTCGGCAGAGTCGGACCAAGAGACGGGGGGGCCCTAGAGGCTCCAGATCCCTGGCCCCAAAAGGCGGCAAACTTGAAACCTTCCGAAGCCAAAAGCGCCAGGGGATCAGACACGATGGTGCCATCAGCTGAAAGGGTGGTGGTGGCCTTCCAAGGGGACGGGTCCCTGGTAAACATGTGAACTCTTTTCGCTCCCTCATCCAGGCCAGCGCGAATCCAAGCTTGCCAACTTTGACGGGATCTCTTCTTGGCAGCAGACTGAGCATTGCTGACCGCAACGTCAATTTTGTCCCGAAGAGCCACGTCGTAACACCTACCCCCAAAGAGATCCCGACAAGGCTTGGCGACAGCACGGGCAACCTCATCAAAGAGAGGCCGAAGAGCAGCAGAAACCTCAAAATGGTGCGGAGGCTCCTGTAGCAGCGTCGTCAGCGACTTCGCCTGAGGAGTATCGCCTTGGTTCGAATCCAGGAGCGAAGCTAGGGCCCGATATTGGACGCTGAGCCACCGCACAGCATGATGTTCAGGATCCCGAATAGCATGATCACGACCGACAAGCTTCTTCCAAACAAGCTGAGGGCCCTTGGATCTCGAACCAAGACAGGGGACAGACTGTCCCAAAATCGGCACAAGCTCAGCCTCGGCTTTGTCAGCCCAGGCAGCATAGCAAGGCGAAAGAAGCGACGATGCGCCCCTAGCGTCACCAACAGCAACACAATGGGAGGCCTGGTCAGCAAGCTCACGCACAAGACTCCAGTCAGGGGGTGCAGGACGCGGTCCTATCACAGCCGTGGCAGGGAGAGGAGAGGGCTTCCTGAAGCTGAGACCTTTCAACTTGCCGAACGAAGCATGCAACACAACTTGCACCGGCCTGTGGGGGCTCAAGGTAGTGTCCTGAACGACCTCACAGCTCTTGACCGTTTTACCAAGACCCCCCGAAAACACAAAGTGGTCCAGGGAAGACGGAGGGCCCTCGCCAAAATGAGTGTGCCCCTCGGCCACCACAGGCAGCCCCACCAACTTCTCAGCGAACTTCGAACTGGCTAAAGTGCCTGGATCCATGTTGTAATCC